ACGTCACGGGAGCGCCGTAACTATTTATACCTGCACTGGTGGTCGCGATATATTAGGTATCAGTTGATTAAATGCAACAACAGTATTTTATCATGAACCAAACCAGGCTGCCCTCCATGATGAGCTTCCCTACCTGGGAGAGGCTAAGGTCAGGGTCTCCCAGCGGCAGGCCCTGGTGTCCGGGGGTGTGGAGGTGAGGCTCTGACCGGCCATTGGGGATGAAGGAGCTATACATCTTCGGGGTGGACACGTCCAGTTTGTCCTCCTGAAGGAAGACAAAAGAATAATTGGAATGAGAGACAGTTTCTCTTTGCTTTCCCCACCACATTCCCTGACCCACATTTGTTTTAGAGGTGTCCTGTCTTTCTGGTGCAGTAAGGAACAATATCAGAAAAGTGTCCTGTCTTTTTTGTCTTTCTGGTGCAAAATAGAGAAAGAGAGAAAAGAGAAAATATATACATCGATTTTTAATCTTTAAAAAACAATCACCTGAGCTGTGAGGAAAAAACTTTTTCAGGGGTGTTTCATGGTGGTTTTCAATTATCATATTCGACACCATATAATGAGGAACATTCGAGGAGAGGGGTCAGAGGTCAGCAGGAAGCCAGCAGCAGCACAGAGATTCAGTTTTTGCTCAAGGACACTTTGAAAAAGGGATGGAGTTCTTAATGAAACAGCCGATTGTAATGAGTGAATAAAAGACTGAAGTGAAGCTATTAACTTATCGTGTCCCCCCAGAGAGAGGATGAATATTAACACTGCTGCTCAGAATTCAGCTGATTATGTCGCCACTTCTCAGCTCGTTCTTCGACAGAAACCAGACAGATCTGCTGCAAATGTCTGTGTTTATTTCCCTCAACTGAAGGGGGCACCCGGTTAGCTCAGTGGGTAGAGCTGGCGACCCATGTACTTGCTGCAGCGGCCCAGGGCTCGAATCTGACCCGCGGCCCTTTGCTGCATGTCATCCCCACTCTCTACCCCCCTTTCCTGTCTATCTTCGGCTCTCCCTATCAAATAAAGGCAATAAAAAGGCCAAAAAAAAACAAAAACGGAGAGATGCTTCAGGCGCATTGTATTCACAAATAAATCTGCACTTTCAACACACTATGACAACAGATTTGCTGATCTTTTCTGGAACCATCAACACTTTTTTAAAACGAAACTTTGAATATCGACCGAAAGGCTACAAGTTGACCGAATGATACGCCTTGAAGACGCCCCTCATCTGTATCATTAAGCAAAAATGCATAATAACACAATAAAATACATAAATACATTTTCATTGTGTGTAAAAGTGTGGCCACAGACAGGGACTTCGTGGTGCATTCAAGTGCACCTCGTAAACTCCGTTATCTGAATTTGAACCGCCTCACTTCTTTGAGTGAAATAAATCTTTCATTACTTTCTTATGATTTACTATTACTAAACTATTAAATATCTGTTGTAAAAGAATAACAATATTCCATTCAGTTTTACATTTTGAAAATTCATTAAAACTTCTGGTACCTCTGTGATGATTTTCATGGTTTGGTGCATTTAATGACATATTGATTTACTTATCGAGTCATTTATTTATGTATTTTGGCAGTTGTGGTCCTCCATATTTAATATTCTTCTATAAAAAAAATAACCCTTTGCATTTTCAAACATCAAGACTGAACTTTGCAGTTGTGCTGCACAGTTTAAGTGTCTTTGACGTCGTCAGCAGTGAAATGAATACCTGACATTTGCACATTTGAAATAAAATGCGAGTGTTAGTATTAAAGCCAATTCAGTCACAGAAACGTTTAAATCTCTTTGGGTATCACTGCTGTAAGACACAATCCAAGTATGGCAACTTAAGTTTCTGCTAAATGTCTGTTTTATGTCACTATTTTTTTTAATCATAAATCTGCTACTATTTCTGCTCTTTTGGTGAGAGTTTCTGGTTGGCAGCAGCCTCTCCTTCACCATAACGCATTGCATCATACATTGTCCCTGTCCAAAGAGTCCACCCACCTTCGGCTGTCCGTCCAGCAGTCCGTTGAGCTTGGCGAGGGATCGCAGCGATAGGGCGTGAGGTAGCGACGCCTCTGGGTCTTTCCCCATTCTCCTCGCTCGCTGAGCGGCGCTGCGGCTGCAGTAACACGACACAAGGAAACCTGACAAGATGGCGCCCAGGAAGAAGGCCACCAGCACGCAGGCGATCAGCAGGGTGTAGTGGACGTTTGCACCGGCACGCTGGTCCATCTCTGGCAGACGACGAACACCTGGTAGACACAGGAGGAGGGATAAGAAGGTTATGCACCTTTTTTATTACTGCCAAGAACCAGGAGTTGTGAAGGTAATCATCCATCCATCTGACCAACAAATCGCCAACAGTGCCTGGATTGTCAAACAAAGGGTTAAATTAACAATGAACCACACCTTCGCCGGCGGAAGGAGGGATCTGTGGTGGGACGAGAATACGTTCTGCTTAAAGGAAGTAGGCGAAATGGATGAGAGAAGGAGGAAAACGGGGGGAGGAAGAAAGGAAGGGAGAGACAGAGACGAGGATTGGACCTAATGAGAAAGAGGTGGTTCACAGGTGAGACAGGATGATGGAGGAGGTGAAGAAGGTGAGATGAGAGGAGGAGAAGAAAGGAAGAGGGAGAGACTATGATTGGATCTGAGAGAGAAAGGATGGAGGGATGGGAGCAGCAGGAGGAGGAAGAGAAATGAGCACAGGAGAAAGGACGGAGGGATGAAAGAAAGAGTTTATTGTTTGGCAGCATTCGCCTCGTCAGGTTCAGATACAACATCAAAGCCTCTCAGATACAATGACTCATCAGTCTGTCCACCACAAACACACACACACACACTCACACTCTCTCTCTCTCACGCACTAACACTCTCACACACTCTCTCACACACACACAGAGCGCCCGGCAGATTAAAGCTGCAGTAATCAATAATACACAAACGCTGCTCGTGTGGAGTCAGATTTTAGTAAAGAATCAACGTTGTTACGTTACGTATGTATGTGAGTATATTTTATATTTATATATTCATATTTTATGTTTAATGTATACGTGTGTTTGCCTTTATGTTTATTTCACGTGTTCCATGTAGTTGATTATGTATTTTGATGTTTTGTCTGTTTTTATGCATATATTTGATCTACTGTAGATACACTGTTAATGCTTCTGGTTTCAATATTTTAGTTTGTTAACATATGTGTTTAACATCTACATTTACTTATTTACTGTAGATTTGTTTAGAACAGAGGGCTCAAACTCAAGGTTCAAAGTACTGCAGCAAAGCACATTATTATAAAAATATTTCCATTACTCACATCATATTTATATATATGCAAAAAGCTGTTTTTATACATTTTTATATAATCTTTACTTATAAATCCCAGAAACCTGCTTTCTTCCTGTCAACCCTTTGCAGGCATTTAAACAACTTTCTAAAATAAAACAATTGTATATAAAGGGGGAAAATTTTAAATAAATACAAATAATCTTGCAGGTCGGATTATATTATTATTACATTTTTGACATCATCTAACGTGCAAGAAATAGCCCCCGTGCCGGGAGTTTCACACTACCTGGAAACGACGGGAAAACACTTCTTTTTATAGTCTAGTCTCTTTTTCATTGCAGCAGCATCTAGTGGCCATTAAACAAACTGCAGCTGAACACACTTTAACACAGACACGTTGTTGTATTTGTGTCTGTGGCGCTGAGTCACCGCTGCAGTCTGTCCGTGTGATTAAGCACTTTAACAGATGAAAGCTGTGACTTTCAGGTAGCTTTTGTTTGTGTTAACCTCTGTTTTATCCTGACGGCTTGATTGAGCACCCACGGGAGCTCTTTTCATTACCGCCGCCCTGCTTCACATTCACAGCCACGCACTCACACCTGGCAGCCTCCCAGACCTGAGACTGACGGGTTGATTTACCTGCTGACACTCACAGTGCATTTTACAACGTGCTTTGAACGGTCTCAGCCTGCTGACAGGTGGTTGGAAACGTTCCCTGAAAATGTGGCATGATTTTATAAGGTTTCACTTCAAACTCTTTTTCTTCAGGCTCTACAGTGAAAGAGACTGTTGGATTTTGATGGATTATTTATATAAAACTAATGTTAGGGGCCAAATGGATAGCACATATATTTTAGAGTGTCTGAAATACTTTTACATATATAAAGATTTTTTTCAGTTTCAGTTTCACATCACATGACATGTTAGCAACAATTTTTTCTTATTCATGATTGTTTGAAATAAATTGATAAATTGAATGTATTTCCCCTAATTAAAACTACATGTTTAAAACTAAAACTAGAGTTTAAAATGCCCATTATAACGTGGAAGGTTCCTTTCAGGAAGTTACGATCAGTTCAATCTTTGTAAATTCTGTGTGACCTTGCAATGTCCAATCACCATAACTATTGTTCAAATGTCATCAATGACAGCGACCCCCCCCCCGCAAAACGTTGAGCCATACATCACCAAAACCTTAGTAAAGACAGTTTTATAATGAATATTTCATATAGAGTAAGTGAAACTTATTTTTTCTATTTTCTGACACAATTAGCTTTGAAAGTTAAATTGAGTCTCAGGTATTAGTTAGAACAGACGACTGAATGGTCAAGTGAAATTCAGATTAAATAGTAAATAAACTGTACTTGTATTGCGCCTTTCTAGTCTTCCGACCACTCGTGCTTTTACACGACATGCCACATTCACCCTTTCATACAGGGATGGCAGTCATCACAAACACAAACTAATCCATTCATTAACATTCACACTGATGTTCTCTCCGACATGCAGTGGGAGGATCTGAGTTTTGAACCGCCAACCTCCTGATTAGTGGACGACCTGCTCTACCTCCTTAGCTACAGCCGCTCTAAATAACTTTTCGCAGGAGGACAAAAAAGAAAAGGAGGGGTACTTATCCTGAACTTGAGTTAATTAGGGAATACTTTACTATTTGTATGAAATTACTAATAGCAGTCTGTCTTCCCATTAAAAGAAACACCCGTGTAGCTAATATAAATAAGCTGAAGAGCTAATTCTAAAACAGAAATCATGGCAAGGTTCTAGTTGATGGTTGGTACAAAAATATGAGCAAATATAGGAGGAGACTATCGTTGTGTTTACATGGACTTCTGTAACTGGGTTAGTGTCTGCGTTTACTGCAGAAATCTGAATCTTAGACATCATCTAAACAGGAAGTATGGGGATTGGAGGAAAAAGACTTATGTGACTTAAAGTATCCCAGTGAAAGAAGAACGAACGGGTGAAAGGAAAGGTTCTTACAGGTAGAGATGTTTGCAATCCAAATAATTTATTTGATGATTGGCATAAGTCAAAATGAACACTAAGTAGCCTCTAAAACAAAAAAAATGTCCCCTAATTAACCTGGCTATAAACAAACAAACAGTTTGCACGATAACATGGAAGGTTCTTGTTTTCCTGTTTTTCGCAGAGAAATCTCTTGCACAATTTATTTAAAGAATACCCACATCTGTATTACCAAACCTTTGTTTATCAAGTGCTGGCTAGCTAGTTAGAGCAGCTTTCTGAGCTACATGAGCTTTCACACAGGCAATAATTAAATCAAAGTCTTTGTCTGCACAGCTGAACACCGTAAGGAACAGGTTTCTTGTGTGCATGTAAACATACTGAATAAGTATTTGAAACATACAGATTGAGTGATTAAAAGAATATTATGCTGCAGAATCTGGTTGAGAACATTTTTTCTCTGTATTAGTCTGTATTGAATCCATCCAAACAACGCTGCAGCCACCTTTCAAGCATTCAGGAGTTGAGTTTTTAATGCTGAAGGATTTATATTTGGGTAGAGTATCACTTTAAGGACCTGCTAACTCCCTGTTATTATTTCATAGTTCAGTTAAATGGCTCAGAAGGAGCAGCATGTCCCTGAAAACCTGATCAAAGGGCCAAAAATACCCGCAGAAACAAAAAGCTAATTTCATGCCCTGCACTGCTGGCCGTCCGGGGGTTTGATTCCCCGCTCCCCCGCCAGTCCGGGACTCGAACTGGCAACCGTCTCTAACCTCAAAGCCAGCGTTGCCTTGAGGCCTCTGAGGCTTCGCTTTGATACAAGACGCCATGGAACAAATTTGTCTTTTATGCAAAATACTGTTGAAATAGAGCAAGTAGTCATTACACGTCCAGTCAGGATTAACACAGACACACACACACACACACACACACACACACACATCCCCCTGTGTTCAACAGAGACGATTTCATGTTCGTTATTTCCACTCTTTCATCTCCGTCCTTCACTCTGACAGTTATAAATAGGATGATGGAGACACACAGAGAAAAATATTATGCTAATTACAGCCCGACATGGAAATGTTTCATTCTCTCTCCCTCTCTTTGTTTCTTTCTCTCCTCCGTCAGTGTAAAAGTTTCTCTTTCTCTCTGCTGTCAGTCTGAATTGTAAAAAAAGTTTCTGGGATCGGGGCTGAAATCTTCTGGGTGAAGTCTTTTCTCACTTTTCTGTCACTGTTTTCTGTTTTCTGTCAGTTGAAAACTTAAGAGTATTCTTTAACTCTCTCTGCCTGCTTTCTCAACCACAGAACTTCTTCCTCTTTCATCTCTCTGCCTTACATTTCTTTATACTTCTCTCCATCTCTCCGTCTTGCCTTCAATCACCTTCTTCTCTTTCTTCGACTCTTCTCTTTTTTTGTCTTAGAAAACTAACAAATGAATCATTCTAACCGGATTCAGTAAAAAGACAAATTAGTACCTCCAGGATGTCTAGGGGGGATTGTTGAAGACTAAAATACCTGAAATATTGCAATGAAATTGTAAAATTAGTTGCTATTTTTTGGTATAACTCATTAAAAATGAAAGGCAGACGGGACTGCTGATTGGTGAAACACAGGAAACTACAATAATTGCTGACATTTGTGGAAAGGTTGCAGTGACTGGACAAAACTGCTACATCGTGTAGAATTCATGGGGACTAGATGAATTTGCGTTAATTGTCGCAACTTCCTGGAGGGACTGATAAACGAGTACCTCAACACACTCTTCAGTTTCCAAATTAAAGGACTTGCTGTGTTGTGGTTACACAGCCTAAATCTGAAGGAAAACAGAGTGAAACTTTACCTGATGATGAAGATCATGCAATATGATCGAAAGCTCCAGTTTCACAATGAACATTGAGGTCAAGAAAAACTTTCAAGCCATCTTGGATGAGAAACATCTAGGGGGCGCTGCTGAGCAGTGGAGGAGTAACACCAGT